AAACTTTGAGGAAGAAACTACACTGTGGGGGCCCTTGAGGCAGAGGGCCCAGCGCAGAGGCCCCACTTGCCTGGACCTAAGAGTAGTACTCCTCTCTTCTCCTCCCACTGCCAATCTCCCCCCATCATCTTGCAAAGTGCACTGCAGTGACCCTCTTTGTTCATTTGTTATTGAGCCCAAGTCTTAGTGTTTCCATTCCTAGGATGGAGACTGCTAACATCAGGGCATGAACATCTCATAGAGACTGACATGACCAAAACTGCACTCCAAAAAGACTGGGCGTATGTCACAGCAATTACACTGCTAAGAACATTCCCAAGAGAACTGAAAACCTACGTCCACACAAAAAACCTGTACAAAAGAATTCATAGCAGCATTTCTCACAATAGTCAAAAGTGGAAACAACCCAATGTCCATCAACTGATGCATGGATAAACAAAATGTGGTATATCCATACAATGCCATATTTTTCAGCAATATGAAGGAATGAAGTACTGATTCATGCTACAACACAGATGAACCCTGAAGACATTACGTCAAGTGAAAGAAGCCAGACACAAGAGATTACGTGTGTTATGATTCCATTTATATGAAATGTGCAGAATAGGCAAATCCATAGAGACAGAAAGTAGATTAGTGGTTTCCAGGGGCTGGGGGTGGGAGTGTGGAGTTGGGAATAAGGAGTGACTGCTAATGCGTAGGGGGATTCTTTTTGAGCAGATGAAAGAGTTCTAGGGTTAAATAGTGGTGATCACTGCACAACATTGTGAATCTTTTCCAACAGAGAAATGATAATACGTGATAATCCCCCTATAAGTGTTAAAATGTAGCTGTATTAGTCAAGGTTCTCCTGAGAAACAAAATCAGTAGAATACACACACACACATACACAAAATGAGAAACTGGTTCATGCCATTATGGAGGCTGAGAATTCCCATAATCTACTCTCTACAAACTGGAGACCCAGGAAAGCTGGTGGTGTAACTCAGACCAAGCCCCAAGTAAAAACCAGGGGAGCTGATGGTTTAAATTCCAGTCTAAGGGCCAGAGAAGATGAGATGCCCCTACTGAAGCAGGCAGGCAGGAAAAGGGGCAAATTCCTCCTTCCTCCTTTTGTTCTATTCAGGTCCTCAATGGGCTGGATGATACCCACCCACATTAGGGAAGGCAACTACTTTACTGAGTTCACTGATTCAAATGTTAACCTCATCTGGAAACACCCTCACAGACACACCCAGAAATAATGTTTCATCTGGGCTCCCCTTGGCCAACTCAAGTTGACACATAAAATTAACCATCACCTTAGTCGAGCTTAGGGCTAAAATAGGGAAATCCCCAGAGGCCAGAATAAACAGGGGAGTCAAGTTCATGGTGAAAAGTGTGAGCTGAAACTGAATAGCCCCACAAAGGCTGGGGAAACTAGACGCAAGGCTAGGGAACTAATCTTGAGTATGGAGGAGAGTTAAGGTTAGAGGCCCCTGCACTTTGGGACACAAACTGTACAACACTAAAAACAAGACAGCTCCTTTCTCTTGATTGTGAACAAAGAACAGCAAACAAACAAAAATCACATAGCTTACATGTGCTACGGCTCTCTTGAGACCAATGTGGAGCTCGGATCCCCGAGGCAGGTAGATGTAAGTCACACCTACAGTTTTTTGGGGGTTTTTTTGGTGAGGAAGATTGACCCTGAGCTAACATCTGTGCCAATCTTCCTCTATTTTATATATGGGACGCTGCCACAGCATGGCTTGATGAGTGATGCGTTAAGTCCGCTCCTGAGATCCAAACTAGCGAACCCTGGACCGCTGAGTCAAAGTGTGTGAACTTAACGACTACACCACGGGGCTGGGCCCTACACCTGCAGTCCTATCAGTTGTGAGGACAACGAATCATTTAGGTTTCATCTACTGAGTTTTCTGTTACAAATTACCTTGCCTTGAGGAAAGAGGACCTATTATGGTATCTTGTGACAGGAAAATAAAAAGAAACGAAATGAAACAAAACAAAAATGAAGGCACTGGATTTCTGATGTCAAGTGTAGAAGAGTTTCACACAGACCCGAGACTGCCATCCTTAGAAAGGCCTGCTTGGGAGGCTGGCTCCTGACCAGTGTCTGGGTACTTGGATTGCAGGAGGATTCCCACCATTCCCTGATCAGAGGAGCTCACAGTGCCTAAGCTGTTTGTACAATGTGGTTTATGCTGAATAGCTATCTTCCTTCTGAGAGTCTCTAATTTTGGTACCTGCTAGGCAGAGTACCTACGCTGAGGAGCCTCCAAAAAAAACCGAGGGCACTGAGGCTGTAATGGGCCTCTCTGGGAGACATTACGGGTGTGTTATCACAGTTTAGTGCGAATTTAGTACATTGTGTGATGCCATAGGGAGAAGACTCTTGGAAGCTTACACCTGATCTCCTCCAAACCTCATCCTAGGTCCATTTTCTCTTTGCTCATTTTACTTCATATCTCTTCACTGTAACAAATCATAGTCATATGACTAGTGTCTTGTGACTACTCCAAGCAAATGACAGAACGTGGAGGTAGTTTTAAGGACCAATACACCACACAAATTGAGACGGCATGGACCTTAATAAGTACTTAGCATCCTGTGAAGGTATGGCCCAGAAAATCAACTGTGGAAACCTGTCTCCCCAATTAGATATCACACGCTGTGTAAAGTCCTTTAACCAACTACACTGAAAATATCAGCATCATGTCTGATATGGAATGGCATCTAAACCTGCTCCTTTATCCTACTGGTTCCACATCCAGAGGGTCCACTATTATGCTGTTCTGTCCTCATGCACATCTTTTCAATGGGAAATCTTTTTTTTTTAAATACCTCCACAATGTATGTATACCCATTTTGTTTCTAGCTCCAGGATTTTCCTCTCTCTGTTGTGGATTTATACTTAAAGCACAGCATGCGTAAATTATGAAGATACAATTGCTGAAACTCATCAACTTATCTGTGTATGCAAAACGACCAGGGAATTTTTCATTTTTCTTTTTTTTTTTGGGAGGAGATCAGCCCTGTGCTAACATCCGCCAATCCTCCTCTTTTTTTTTTTTGCCGAGGAAGACGGCCCTGGGCTAACATCCGTGCCCATCCTCCTCCACTTTATATGGGACGCCGCCACAGCATGGCTTGCCAAAGCAGTGCGTCGGTGCACGCCAGGGATCCGAACCAGCGAATCCCGGGCCACCGCAGCGGAGCGCGCGCACCCAACCGCTTGCGCCACCGGGCCGGCCCCTCATTTTTCAAATTGGCTTCCAGAGTCTGTTCCTTCATTATGATCTTGTGTGCCACGTGACAATACAGAACATTCATATTATGAGGTCTTAATTACAAGGGATAATTATTTGGTACTTTTTCAAATTCTACTGTAATAACTTACTGCTTTAGTAATATTCAATGTCCAATGAAAAACTAAAAACATAACTTATGAAATTATAAAATGAAAAAATACCATGAAGTGCTCCTTGCCAAGGAAAATCACTATGGAAGAGTCTTCCTTTACATGTCATCTTATGCACGTACACATATGCTCACAAACATTTATGTTTGATTACGCTATGAAGGCTACTATCTATGATCTCTCAAAGCCCATATTATGTACTTCTTTTGTCATCACAGATATCTGCCATAATTTCAGTGGCTTTAGGTTAATATAGGAATATATCAAAACTCAAATTCCCACAGACGTACACTTATGTCCACTTTACAAAATTCAGTGACCACATCGATGTGGTGCTCATCTCTTTGGTATTTTAATCTCATAATCATAACTTCCAATTATACAATTTCCAGATCAAAGAGATGTACAATCTATATAATGATATATACTCCTTTCCCAAAATCATCCTTTACTGCTACCAATAGGGAAAAGCATATAAATGTCAGTCTTGCCTCAATAATACATTTCACAAAATTATCAAATTCCCACAAGTTTTTTGAGTATTCGTTTCATGGGTGGTGTGGGGGAAGAATACAGCATAGCCCCTACCTGAGAAGTTTTGATAAAAGAAATGCTAAAGTAATTATAAGGCAAACATTTCAAAGTCAGGATAGAAATGCAGAGAATTAGAAATCAATAATAAATTCAAGGTCCACTAAGAAAATTTTTGGCATTGGTAACTACTTGTGACACTTTCAAAGGGTTACAGTAAACCCTGCCTTAACATTGATAGAAAAAATCGATTGTGTAATATGTAGTAAGTAACCTGTTGTAAAGTTAATAAAAATTTTTTCAGTCTGTATTTTCAGAAAAATCACAAGATAGTAAAATTTATACTGTACACAATCCTTGGAAAACTAGGCAAGGCTCCAAATAATGAGAACCCAACTTGAGAACAGAGACTGTGGGGAGGACAGGAGCCAACTGAAATAGGGTGATACCATATTAATACTGCAGACTGTAATATTGACTGGTTTTCTACATTTCAACTGATGTTTATTTCCCTGAATTAGTTTTATTTTGCAAGTTTCCTTCTCTGCACACAATTCACATATACTTGTACATCTTCTCCTTTTGGTTTATTTAACAAACAAGTGTGGAGCACACCAACAAGTGCTAGTCAGTTAAGGTTACGTAGATTTAGCAGCAAAGTCCCTGCCCTCATGGAGCTTACACTCTAGTAGACATCAATTCTGGCACACCCATCACTACACACTTGTTAAAGCCCAGAACAAACTCTTTTCCTTTCTAAGTACCATCTCCTAAGTGACATCTGACAAATGTCAAAGTTCTGAATGAAGCTTTAACTGCACCACTTACAAGGATTCTCTGCTGTGTGGTCTGGTGAAAACTGAGATATGTTCATTTATTGCTTAAACACCAACTAAACTGGAACAAATATTTTCTCTCCTATGAGATTTCATGATTATAAGAATTCGAGTTGCACATGACTTTTTAAAAAAACATCATTTTGTAGAACTTCTTTCCTCTGACAATTCTTTAATGTTCTTACCTCTCTCATCAGTTTCATAAAATGTACCTCCAACGTGAATTTTGTGATGACTTACAAGATTTGATCTCCAACTGAAGCTCTTACCACACATCTCACACTTGTAAGGTTTCTCCCCTGTGTGAACTCGCCTATGATACTGAAGTTGTGAAGACCGACTGAAGACTTTCCCACACACCTCACATTTGTATGGTTTCTCTCCAGTGTGGACACTCTGATGAAGTTGAAGGCTTGAGGCCTGACTGAAGTGCTTACCACACTCTCCACACTTATATGGCTTCTCGCCTGTGTGGACCCTCTGATGCATGTCAAGATTCAAGCTCCACTTGAAGCCCTTCCCACACTCCTCACATCTGTATGGCTTTTCTCCAGTGTGGACTTTTTGATGGGCTTGAAGGTGTGAACTCCGACTGAAGCTCTTGCCACACTCTTCACACTTGAATGGTTTTTCTCCACTGTGGACTCTCTGATGGGTCAGAAGATGTGAGGCCTGACTGAATACTTTCCCACACTCCTCACAATTATATGGCTTCTCTCCTGTGTGGATTCTACAATGGATTTTAAGATCTGCTCTACGACTGAATCCCTTCCCACACTCTTCACACTTGTATGGTTTCTCTCCGGTATGGATCAGCTGGTGAATCTGAAGTCGTGAACTCTGATTGAAACCCTGCCCACACTCCTCACATTTATAAGGTTTCTCTACACTGTGGGCCTTCAGATGGATTTTAAGATATGAACTCTGACGGAAGCCCTTCCCACATATCTCACATTTATAGGGTTTCTCTCCTGTGTGGACCACCAGATGAACTTGATAATGGATTTTCATCCTGAAGCTCTTCCCACACTCATCACATTTGTATGGTTTCTCTCCTGTGTGGACTCCCTGATGGGCTTGAAAACTTGAACTGTAAATGAAGCCCTTACCACACACTTTACATACATATGGTTTCTCTCCAGTGTGGATTCTCCGATGGGCCTGAAACTGTGAAGGCTGAATAAAGCACTTACCACATTCCTCACATTTATAAGGTTTTTCTCCTGTGTGGACCCTCTGATGGATATGAAGATTTGAGCTACAAGTAAAGCACTTCCCACAGTCTTCACATTTGTATGGTTTCTCTCCCGTGTGGACCATGCAATGACTATTAAGTGCTGATCTACGACGGAAGTTCTTACCACATATATCACATTTGAATGGTTTCTCCCCAGTGTGGATTCTCTGATGTTCCTGAAGATGCGAAGCGTGGATGAAGGCCCTCCCACATTCATCACAATTGTAAGGTTTCTCTCCCGAGTGTAATTTGCAATGAACAGTAAGTGTTGATCTACGACTGAAGCCTTTCCCACACTGCTCACATCTGAATGGTTTCTCTACGGTGTGGACTTTCTGATGAGTTTGCAGACGTGAGCTCTGACTGAATTCTTTACCACACTCATCACACTTATAGCGTTTCTCTCCCGAGTGAACTCTCTGATGAATACGAAGTGCTGAGCTATAACAGAAGCTTTTTCCACACTCACCACATGTATGAGACTTCTCTCCTGAGTGTATTTGTTGATGAAGATCAAAGTTGGAGACATCACTGAAGGCTTTTTTACATTCATTACACTGGTAAGGTTTCTGGTCTGTGTGAGTTATAGATAATCCTGCCCCAACCTGGCCGGGTGAATCATCTTGTTTGAGGAACTGAAAATTCTTTATCATGGAGTCTTGACAGCTGGTTAAGTCACTTGCAATTTGTTGCCCAATCTGCCAGCAGGAAAGCTCTTCATGTGGTTCTGCTTCTGAGACAGTCTCCGTCTCACTTTGGATCTTGCCTCCTGTAAGGACAGAAAATTCAGAGATGTTGACGACCGAAGGCTTTGCTCAGTGTTTTCAAGATTTCCCATTTAGGAGTGAGCACGAGACCTAAATGAATCCAGTTTGTCTTTTCCACTGGGTATCATGGTCTCTGGTTTGCATGCCCATGGAAATGAAGAGGTGGTCCACTTGGCTCCTATCCACTAAGCATGAGACCCATTAGTCTACCAAGTTCCTATCTGAGGTACAGGTTAGAAGTCAAAGACTTAATTTTAAAAATTGACAATATGATACAAACTGTCAATTTAAGGCCATTTCTATTAAATTTCAAAATCAGTCTAGAATCTTGGAGAGTAAATTATGTTGTTAATAAATTATGCAGATACAAACATTATGTAGATAATAAAATATAAATCAACCATAACTTGAAGGAAAAGCAATAACATAATCAATATTTTTTACTTTGGGTTCATGTTAGATATCCTAATATCAAATACCTTGAAATATTTATATTTATATATTCAAAGTGTTCCCGCACAACAGAAATTCTGCACAATATGTACACCTAATCTTATTTTTCTGTATTGATAGACATTAAATGAGTTGGCAACTATTACAAACTTTTGACCCTTTCTAATATAATTTAAATTTAGAAAAGGGTTTTCTAAAAGATTTACCCTTAGGGGTATTGTAAAGTTCCTATATTTATACAAAGATATCTAAACATTTAGAGATTACTTTTTCAATAAGGTTTTCAAATTAAAAAGTACTTCTCTTAAAACTCAACAAGAGGGGCCAGCCCGGTGGCATAGCGGTTAAGTTCATGCACTCTGCATCGGCGGCCTGGGGCTCGCCAGTACGGATCCTGGGCGCAGACCTACGCACTGCTTGTCAAGCCATGCTGAGGCGGTGTCCGACATACAGCAACTAGAAGGATGTACAACGATGACATACAACTATCTACTGGAGCTTTGGGGAAAAGAAGGAAAAAAGGAAGAAGATTGGCAACAGATGTTAGCTCAGGGCCAATCTTCCTCAGAAAAAAAAAGT